GCAGGAAAATCCTGTGCTGGGGATCTGCCGCTCCCTCTGACCACCCCCGAGGTGTGCTGGGGATGCCGTTTAGTATTGCCCAATATTACTACTGCCTAAAACATTTACACAGTATCGTCGATTTACTTTTGGGCTCTCACTGGCCTTGAAAAACACTTTTTTACTGAGTATTTCCCTGCTTGTGTAAAGTTTGATGGCAGCATTCAGCTCTGTGCAGCTCTGAGCTCTGAACCCAGTGCAACCTCAGGGATTACCCCCAAGGGCCAGAGCACAGCAGCCCTGCGGCAGAAGCCTGTTTGCCTGGTGCAAACAGAAGGTGTCACTCACCAGGTGGTCCCAGTCACGTTTTCAGAATTGCTGGTTTTAGTATTTCCTTCTGTGCCCTGCTACAGCAATGTCATGAACTGGGGTTTTTAAGTGGTCTTGCTGCTGCCTCCACCACCACCTCCTCCTCTCCTCCTTTCTTGTTGCGGTTGGGTTGGTTTTCTGCAGGTTTTTTATGTCCAGATTTCTTCCCTTTGTCCTGGTTCTGCAGTGCCTTTGTAGTTTGCTTGTAGCAGTTTTATTTGCTTCTCCAAATTTCTCTGTGGTGCTTTGGTTTCATGCATTAGTTTACAAGGGCTTTTAATTTTTAATTTGTATTTATCCAGAGATGAGGGTCTTGAATAAATTAATATTAAAGATACCAAGCAGACAACTATTTTCATGCCCAATCCTTACCACTAAACTATTTTCTTTGGATCGTAGCTCTCACTTTTTTTGTACTCTGGGCATGGCTTGATCTATTATAAAGCTCTTAGTTAAATAGGTACTTATTTTCTATAAGTAGGAACTCACACTTACCATGAAAAGTACCATCTTTACAATAATGACTTCTGCATTTTCAGAGCCCAGGAACAAATAGCTCTGACAGTGGATAGGAAGGAAGATAGACCTAAATAATCTCATTTCTGATAAAGATGATGAGTGGAAATTTGTGCTTGGTGTGCAGCAAGGCGCACCATGCCAGGAACTGCCCAAGCTCCCATGAGATGCACAGGCTGCTCAGAGTTTTGCAGAACTGGGTGACCATGGCAATACCAAAGGTGGGATGGACCTTCTTGCAGGAGCTATGCATGGATATTTGGACTTCATTCACGGTTTGGTGAGATGTGTTCACTCAGCTCCCAGTGAGGAACCAGCATGTGGAAGTCAACAGTGCAGCAACAGGCTTGTTGCCCCTGCACACAGTGGGATCTGTTGGGAATGTTGCTGGAGAGGTTTTAGCCATGAATTACAATTTCTACTGCACTCCTCAGGGGACTGGTCTGGTTTTATTTCTCTCTCCCCAAGGCAGTCCTGGCAGCTAAATCTTTCAAGACCTGGATTTTCACAGCCCACATTTTCCTTGTATCTCCCCATCTCCCTGTGCCTGAGAGAACAGGATCTTTTGTCACATTTTTATTTTCAATAGCTCCAACAGCAGGTGATTAAAATGCCTCTTTGGCAGCTTCTTCTAAGCACTGCATTGCTGATTCTCCCAAAGGTGGATATCTGGCACAAACAGGATAAGGTCTGTACTGTTTGTCTAACCTCCATGTCCATCTTCCATGGCAAAGCTTGGCAGGGGCTTGCTCAGCAGAGACATCCCCACGGAGGAGCTTGGAGAAGGAGCCTTCTCTCTAAATCAGCACCCTATGCCCCCAGGGCAGCTGCAGCCCTCCAGAACTCCTTGTGCTTTAATGGCTTTGTGTCACTGGAGTGCAAGCTAACACCTGGGGACAGTAAATCTCACCACTAGCATCCCCCACACTGCAGCTCCTTGTGCTGTACTCTTAAAACAACTTACCCATCACTGCCTCCCCTCCTGCCCAAACCCCTTTCTGAGAGCCTCGGGGAAGGAGATTTTCAACAGAGCCTCCTGTTCTCCTGGAAGGGCACTGAGTTTACTGTCTTCATGCTCATCTCTGCCTTTCTAAAAGCTCTTCTTCGGGTATCTAATTATTTCTGCTTTTCCTGATTCATTCCCCACCAGGCTGTAGAGCAGTGGCAGGGAAGGAACCAGGATTTGCTTGCAACACAAGTTGAAAAGCTGCACTCTGGCTGACTTCTAGTTTTGCAAGTTGTGCACATATGAAGTCTTACGGTGCTTATAAAAGTGCTCCGTGGCATTACAAAAGGCAGCAGCACCTGAGCCTTATTAAAAGAGTCCTTTAAAGGTTACTGATCCATCTACTTAAGACAAAGAGGCAGTTCAGAGAACGACATCTGTGTTAAGCTAGGATTTGGTAAATAATCATATCCAGTGCATTGGAGCAGCATGCTGGCTCATATGGTAACGTTTATGGAGCTATTTCAGTGCTGCTGGAGGTGCAGTCACATGAAATCAGTCTAACCAAAAGAAGCAGCCTGTGATGTGAGGTCTGGACTAGTTAGGTAATTTCCTGTACCAGCCGACACGGAGTGCTGGTTGTAGGAGTTCCTTTGATTGCTTGTCACTGAGTGGAAAGCCTGCAGCCGACTGACACATCTGGAAAAGCTGAATCTACTGGGTTTTTTTCTGTTTATTTCTCTTCCTGACTGATGGACAAGATTGTAGGGTTTATCCTAACAGTTATCCCCTTGATAAGCTTATTACAACTCTGGGGAACTCATGCAAAAAATATATTGTATAATGGAGGCTTTACTGTCTGGAAACCAGCACAGTCTGAGCCATCTGAACAAGCAAAGATTTCTGCCAGCCCCAAGCAGTCTTCACCTGAGCTCATCCCCCAGCTCTCTGCGTGGCCTTGGGCAGATTGTTTCACCTTATTGCCCCCATGTCTTACACTGTAAGCTGGAGGGAAGTGGTGCCTCCCACGTGGGCTGTTGGGAGGATCTGGTGGATAACAAGCTGTTGTCTGCCAGTACTACAGACTGCCAGAGCTGCGCAGAGCTGTAGTAGTGCCCGGCATTAGCATGGGATGGGGAAGATGTGAAGTTGTTGAATGTGCAGCAATTTGCTGTGTGCCCAGGGCACATACGTACCAAAGCTCATTGGAAACTTTCCCACCTTCTGCTCCAAGTCCAAAATCGTATCTGTTTTCTCTGACATAAAAAGAATAGTAGCATGTTTATTAATAACAAAGTCTGGAAAAGCAAGACTACCAGTTGCATGAATCTTCCCTCTCGCCCTGAGAAGGAACAGGAAGTGAGGAGAGGACAAACATTTCAACAAGTTGCCCAGAGTAGTGCTGTAGGAGAGGCAGGTACTGCTGCGATGAGTGACAGACAAGAGGCTTAGCTGAATGGCAGTCACCTTTTGTTGCACTCTGAAGGATGTGACTGTGTGCCCTTTTTTCAAACCCTGTTTAAAATCATTCTGTCCAGCAGCAAAATTAAATGTCTCCACCATTAAGGCATTAAAAAGCCTTCTATGAACTTGTGTCCTTGGAGGCAGATTTGTCTGAACGGCATCTTCATGGTGACTGAGAACCAGAGATGCATAGACAAATTTGAGGTAATTTAGAGAAGAGCAACACAAATGATTAAAAGACTGAAGGAACTGATGTGAAGAAAAAAAGATTAAAAGATGTGAATATGCATGACTTGGCCTAATGACAGCTGTAAAGGGATAAATGTCTACAAGTGTTTGAAGCCCAAAGGAGAGCTGACTGGAAGGATGCAAGGGGCGTAACAACAGTAAGGGCCACTGGGATGAATTTGAGATTTGGCAAATTAGTCTAAGCAAACACAAAGCCCACCTGAAAGCCCTGTATCTGTCAGTGAGGGTAAAAAAAGGTGATAGAATGAGAAGAGGATTTATGTCAAAAATGCTACAAATGCCCATGAGCTATATTTTGGCAGTGACAGAGAATGGCAACTCAGAAGCAAGATCCAACAGAGGAAAAGGG